GTCACCGGCACAGCCCCGTCACCGGCACAGCTCTGTCACCGGCACAGCTCCGTCACCGGCACAGCCCCGTCACCGGCACAGCCCCGTCACCGGCACAGCTCCATCACAGCCCTGTCACCGGCACAGCCCCGTCACCGGCACAGCTCCATCACAGCCCTGTCACCGGCACAGCTCCGTGACTGGCACAGCTCCCTGCGCGCTGCGGCTGCACGCCAGCCCCCGCCGTGCTGGGCGGGAGGAGGTGGCTGCTCCGTCCCATTTCCTGGCCTCTCCGCTCCGCAGCCCCGGTTTCCCGCAGTGACTCTTTCCAAGGAGCCTGAAGCATGCTAGTCTCCATCCCCCATCGCCTTTTGCCCCCATTTTCTGCTGTGAAATCTCTCGGGGTGATTATTGCTGACTGTTTCAAAACATTTTTAACGCGGAAGCCAAGTCTGTTGCATTCCTTCACGCTGGCCAAAGCCATTCTCAGTTGAGGACCCTGGAATGAGCTCCTGGGGAATTTGTTTTGCAAGAGTAATTCCATTTCTGTGCAAACTTCTGCTTTGCTGGGTTCTGTCTGCAGGCTGGGAGCTCCGTCGGGGTCCGGGATGCCGGGGTCCCGCTCCCCTGGGCGCAGCGAGGGAGGCGCAGCCCTGGGCAGGGACGTGCCCAGGGCTGATCCTGCAGCGCTTCCACCGCTTCTCTCCCGGCACTTTCCTCTCCTTCACGCGTGTTCCAGGCTCACGGGTGGCAGCTGGGAAATCGCCGCTTGGCAGGACCAGCGTGAGCCTCCAGTGCTGCCCCCGCCCTGCACAGCCCCAGCCGCCCCCCAGGGGACTGAGCTGGCCCGGGCCAGCCTGGGCCGAGGGTGCTGAGCGCAGGGTCAGGCTTCGCTGTGCCCTCGCTTCCCTTTGCCCAGGAGCAGCAGCCCTGGGGTGACGCGAGCGCGCGGGGGGGCCCGGCAGCCCCTTGGCGCTGAGGACAAGCTGCCTGCAGAGCAGGGGCGTTGGCGGGTACGGTCCCTCCCCTGGGCCTGGCAGCTCCCAGAGCGCCTGTCCCCCCGGGGGGAGGGTTTGCCATGGCTTTGCTGTTAGAGCCCTCGGCTCCCTGGGCCACGTGCAGGCAGGGGTCAGGATGCTGCCCACTGCCCCCCTGCACAGAGCTCCCGGCGGGCCGGGCTCAGCGCTGGACGGGGCCTCTGCCTGCTCGGCGCCATGGCAAGCGGCACGCGGGTAGCGGCACACGGGTAGCGGTTCAAGGATCTTGACCTGAACTTTCTCGAGTAGGGAGATAAGTGATGGATTTTCACTGGCTGCTAATCATTAACGCCTTGTTGCCTGTTTTCTGCAGCGGGCTCTGGCTGGGCGCCCTGTGCCACGGGGCTGCGTGTCCACATGCCAGCGGCCGTGGTGGCCGGCCAGAGCTGGGCAAGGAAGTTCCTCAGGCTCCTGGAAACAGCTCTCCGTGTCACTCGTTCAGCGTCACCCCCCCAGGACAAACAGGGCGATAAATCTGCAATGACAGCGCGGCGGGGCCGGGGTGGGGAGCGGCTGCGGGCAGGGGCCTGGCAGCAGCTGGACGAGTGGCGTGTTCAGTCTGTCCCCGCAGCCGGGGTCTGGGGGGGGCAGTTTAGTGCAGGGGGGGCTCAACCCAGGGCAGCTGAGCTGGGGGGAAAGCCTTCCCTCACTGGGGACCTCGTCTGCAAAGGCCCTTTAACCCCCATCCCAGACCATCGCGGGCAGGCAGGAGCTCCCAGGCCTCGCTGTGTGAGCCTGCGGGAGCTCCGGAGCCTGGGAAGGTTCCCGGTGTGCAGAGTCCTGGTTACATCAGCCTGGCGATGCTTGTCCTGCCCCACGCCATGCGTGACCCTGTCCACCTTCCTGGGCATCCCTGCGACGTTCCAGGTGCTTGGGGTGGTGGCAGAGGGAGGGGAGGAACATCCCAGTGCGGAGCTGCAGCAGCGCTGTTGGCCCAGAGTGCGGGGGCTTGAATCTCCCCCGATAACGGGCGAACGCGGGGGTTCAGCAGGAGCTGCTGAGCTGTTGTGCTGGGCGGGGGCTGCCGGAGCCCTCCGAGCGAGGCAGCCCCTGCGCAGCGCGGGGCGGGGACGGGGCGGGGAAGGGTTAAGGTGCTGCTGCTGGAGCCCCCCACGCTCCACCGGGAGCCCTCAGAGCCTGTTTTTCCCTTTTACGTAAGTTGTTCCAAACATGTTTGTTACAACCCCCTGCCGATGCACCTTTGGCAAAAGTGGTTTTGGGTCCAAAGATCAGTGCTGGGACAAGCGACCTGCCCGCGGCAAACAAGGGCCCACAGCGTATAAAACCCGGCGGCACGGCGGAGCGCGGGACAGCCCGGGCAGCGCCGAGGGGCCGCGGCTGCCGAGGAGGAGGATGGAGGCCACCATGAACCTCCTGCACGACACGGGCGTCCAGGCGACGCGCTGGCTGCAGCTGCGCTTCCAGGGCTCCCAGGACTGGTTCCTCTTCGTCTCCTTCGCTGCCGACCTCAGGAACGCTTTCTTCGTCCTCTTCCCTATCTGGTTCCACTTCAGCGAGTCCGTGGGCATCAGGCTCATCTGGGTGGCCGTGATCGGTGACTGGCTCAACCTCATCTTCAAGTGGTGAGTGGCGCAGCGCCACGGCTCCCTCCAGGCGTGTTGGCACAGCTGGACTGACGCGGGCCAGGTGTGGGCTCTCAGTCTTGACGTGAATGTGAAACAAGGACCAGAGTCCGGCCTCCAGCCTGGCAGTGGTGCGGGTTGCTCCTTCCCGCGCCGCGCGGCAGCAGCTCGAACCCCCTCCCAGCAGCCAGGCAGAGGGATGGAGCCTCCCGCAGAGCCCTTTGC